GCTATGGCTCGCAATTGGGCTCAGCGACTGCCGGAACGATGCCCAGAATACATGTCCAGATATCAGATTATCATTACCACCCTTCCCCCCCCCCCCCCCCAGATACACATGTTTCCACATAACCATTGCCATCATCTGCCCACCCCCCCTCTACCCACGTAAGCCTTATTATAGGGTTGAGATTGACTGAACACTTCTAAATGAAGCAATGTTTCCATTGGTCAGGTAGTAGCAGTTCCCACAGCCTCTACGGTAACACCACTGCCCGCGTATCCGTACAGCAGCAGCAGCAGCACATTTCCATGCAACAGATGCTCAGGTATTCCAGCAATGTTTTAATCACGGTCATTTAGTTTTACTGCAACAGTGGTATACAGCATGCATATGAAAATCGCACGTGCACCCATTAATGCATCTTGTATGACTCGTAAAATAGTTTTGCATGGATGAGGAGCGGTCATTAAAGCTATACATGAGAAACTCAAAACATTTATAAATGAGGTTAAAATCTATTTTCTCAATGGTGCTGGCAGCCAGAGCCACTCGGCGACAGTTTAAACAATTCCAAGAGAGATGGGCAGATGGCACAGTTTTACAATGTCCTCGGGCATGAAAAGGCACGAGCCTCGAGTTATAGTCTAACCATGTCCTGCTGGAGCAAAAAAACACCCCGCGGCCTTCAAAGGAAACAAACGCAAACAAGCAACGATTCGGGCAATGATCCTTCTTCATAGCACTGTGACATGCCCAGCTGGAGCACGTTGCCATTGATTGTGCTGCCCTTTCGCAAGGAACTGTCGTAAGGGTTCCTCGAATTGGTTCTCAAATAGGCAGGTGATATCAGCCGAAAGACTCACAATGCCCTCGAGCATCTTGCACAAGGTGCAACCCAGAGCGTTTTGTTGATCTGCTTGTGATGGGTGGAGACGGCGTGATCCTCGGCGGATCATGCTGCTGATGTAAACGGCACCACTGGCAGCAACCCGCCAGTCCTGGGACCAAGAGGCATAACATTCCTTGGGTGAAATCTGCCTTTAGTTCACACTGACTTACATTGCACACTAAATATATATCGAATACAACCAATCACTGGCCATTTAGCATTGCAGGCCAGAACGATGATTGCACGTGCACTGCGACAACACAACCCACATGAAGCTGGTTGTGCCTGGAGCGATCGCAAGTGTGCTTGATGTCTTCTCATAAGCATGGCCTTTCTCTCGGCAGTCTGTTTGCCCTTCCACAAATAAATATACTTAAAAAGGCAATTGTCCAAACGTCCAAAGAAATAAAGTTTTGAGACTTATCGATGTTTTGTTCATGATGACACGAAAGACATTTCTGGAAATTTGGATGGTTCTTAGGCACAGCACAAATCATTGCAAAAAATAATCCTTTAGTTGATAACCATTAAAATATATAAATCTCCAAGAGCCTGAAAAAAAACGTGAACTTCGAGAGTGCAAAAAGTGGCAGCAAATGAAAAGTTATTTGCCTAGGGGCTAAAGAGAGAACTCACCAGCGGGCTGGTATCAAATCGCCATGAACTAAGTTCACCGGGAGATCTCCAGGCATGTCCAGGCCGGAGCGTTTTCCAGCTGGGTGGTGTGAGTTGCCCTCATGTCCTTGAGAGATCAATTGGTTTTAACAACATCAGGCTCATGAACTGGAATAGGGGGCAAAACTGGCAGAGAAGACGCTTCCTTTCATTTTGGCCGAGACACGGAATGACAAAGAAAGACGATACACTTAAAATGTAATCGATAAATAAAATGTGGCATCTGTTGGTGAATTCAATGAATGTGTCTGAGACCGGCAAGACCGTTTTGCAGGAGGGTATTGTGTCAGCTGCCCCTGGCAGTGCGGCACGCATAGGATGCATGGAATAAATTGAGGTTTTTGTGCTGATGACAAAGCACGAGAGTGTTTATATTTATATAAGACACATTTCCACTGTAAAGCTAAATGGTTCCAAATAGGCCCATTACAAAATATAAGACGACGTTTTCATGCAACACTACAATAAATATTCTTTGTAATACTGATATATATTTCTGTCACAGTGCTCAACTGCTTAGAAATTGAATGAATGCAGTATTCTCATTGCTCCATGGGTAAATTTGTCACGCAATGCCAAGCAGCGCCCTTGAATTGCCGCTCCGCCTTTGAATTGCCCCACCGAGTGAGTAATCACGCCAAGTGTTCACATTTTAACGACCCGCAGAGCTCAACATTGTGCTGCATCCCGGTGTCCGCGCAAGAAACCCCAAAAATACCGACGGCTGCGTATTAATCCAGCAGCCTGAAGTCCTCCTGTGTCGAGCTGCGTTTCGCCTGTTTCCGTGAAGGGGAGGTGGAGTGCCCAAGAGGGTGTACATTAGCATTACTATAATCTTCAATGTCAACGGTGGCCAAGAATGTTGCCGCCTTTGCTGAGTCTAAATGTCCAATTGCGGTGAGACGGTGTTCGGGCAAACCCATTAAAGGTTGGCTACCTTTTTAGTCTGCGGCCTCGCGTAGCCCCCCCCCCCCCCCCCTGATGCTGTGTTAAGCGTTTGTGTTCAGAGGCATTGACAAGGCCTTTCAAACATGAATGTAGTTCGGTGCCCTCAGAGTGTATGAAGGTTAAATTGAGAACTTCGGGTTCTCTCTCTCCCACCCTCTCGTACATTTCTTCACGTGAGTCCGGATGCAAATAATCACCTCTCATTAAATAAATTGGACACACGTACAAAAAATGGCATTCGACAAAAATGCCAAATCGCAATTTCACATTCACTATTGGGCATGGCTTTTAGAAAAATAAAAAGGGAATATTTTAAAATCATTTGAACGGCAAGGTCATGTCAAAAAGCGGCAAGATGTTTGCTGTCGTTTCACTTATAAATAGACCCCGAGACCTTTATAGTAAGAGCTGCTGCTCGTAAATTTCGGTCCAGTGCTTTTAGGAAGAGTAGGATTTGTGGATTAAAACGTGGCTCTGAGTACAAGTAGATTTATTGCCAGTTCATGTCATGTTTAGCGGTGTGCACACAATAACCTGTGTCCATGACGACGAGAAAATGATTTGCACATGAAAGTGAAATATGGGGGTATTTAAAAATCAATGCTATTTATTAAAAAGAGTCGTCTAGTTCATTACCAATTACATCCCAATTATCTTATGCTATCCATGTGATGAAGCCAAGCTTCAACCTGGAACTATCGCAGTCAATTCCCATCATCATCATCAGGCGTGTTCTATTCACTGCTGGATGAAGGCCTCTCCCCACACTCCTGCGATGCCACATTCCATCGCGCTCCTACGCATGAGCTGAATTCATCGCTCCGTCTCCACGGCAATCAGTGGTTATGCACGGCATGAGCAGAATAAGCCAAAGTGTAGGATCCCAAGTAACTCAAGGGCTCCGTATTTTAAGGAAACACTGTTTTGCGCCAAATATCTGCTGACTAACTCTCCATTCATGTTATCTCGCTGTCTTTGAAGGGGGCGGGGGGGGCACAATGAATGTGTGCCCCCAGGGAGACCAGAGTATTAACGACAGCCCCCCACCTCTGCACACCCATATCCTCCCTTCTCCCTTAATACGTACAGGCATACACAATTAGTGGGGGGGGGGGGGTAATCTTCGTCAACAGGGGGGAAATTGGCGGGTGACATTAAGACGACCCAATGAAACAGCAATGAAGGTAGTCTTGTTAATATTGTCCACGTGACATTTCTTATATGAATAATCATTTCGACCTTCCTGAACTCGAAAATGCAAAGTATTTTTGCGTGTGTTCGTTCACGGGGACCCTCTCAGCAGTTAACGCCGAGACGATGACGCATGGGATCGGCCGAGAGAAAGAAAATCGACGTCTAAAGGCTCAGGATTCTTCTTCGATCGAATCGCGCGCATAAGAATGGCGGTTCGCTTTACGTGAATTTGACGCAGACGGTACTCTGACGATACAATCCAGCTGGATGGAGTTAACAAAGATCGTACAAAATGAGCCGGAGAAGAATCGGACGATACAAACGAGGTGGTTATAATGAGACAGAAACACAAAAAGGTTCAATGGTCTGGAATTAAAACGATTCCCGGCAGTGAATCGTGACCAGGGATGGGGCATTGAAGTAAACTCATCGACATATCGAAGAGTCGACGACGTGTTTTATGAAAACATCGACTTGTTTTTTACGTGTGATGTTTTATTTATTGAACTATTTTTTATTTACTATTTAGCAAGAAGTGCAATGCAAGCATTCAAATGTAATCTGTGTTATAGAGGAAAAAAAATAATGAATAATAATGAAATAGAAAATAAATATATGGAATACCCCTCGACACAAATTTGTGCTGCTTTGCAGAATATATCGTAATAATGGATGTCTGAATCATGTTATAGAAAAATACAGTCGCTCACTGCTATCGTTGAAGTTTGCTTTACAAAATATGTCGAAAAATTTAATGGTTTGGTAATATTCTACTTAAACATACAAAAGGCTGTCGTTCCAGAATGAACACTCAACCATAAACCAACTTACGTATAATTACCAGAATATTAACTTTAAACCTATCTACAATGCGTGCACCTGTCAACAATGTTTGGACCAGTTTTTTTCTTTCCATCAAAGAGCTTTTTTTTTAAAGGGCTGCCTTTTATACGCCCTGAAAAACACAACACCGACAGCAAAACATTGATGCACCGATGTTGTCGAAGGGATGAACAGCAATATCAAGAAATTGATGAATGAGAACCAAAACAATGATGTTACCTATGTATCGATGTATGTATTTTGTACCAATCCTCTACCCCTAATATGAATGCCCATTCCAAGCCCCCACAAGCCTGAGTCGCCCGCCTGCATCAATTTGAATGCGATCAAACTTCGCACTTCCGATCACACTTCACACTTCGGATCACACTTCGAACGACGCAAAATTAACAGGGGAACCCCAATCCCAACCTTCGTGACCACCCCCCTCCCCCCACCAACCCCAACGTGTGCACAGCTGCAGAGGCTGAAGCGCTCGCTGTCGTTCAAGACCAAGTCCCTGCGCAGCCGCAGCGCAGACAACGTCTTCGAGCGTTCCGACCGGGACTCGCGGGGAGAGGGCAACCTCATCCTCACTCCGGCCCTGATCCCGAACGCCGCCCTCCGTGGTAGCCCCTCGTCGCCGCCGCCGCCACCGCCGCAGCCGCCGCAGCTCCCCCCGGCGTCGCGCGAGTGCCTCCTGGGCGAGGCGCGGGCCTCCCGGGCACTCCTCTCCTCCTCCTCGTCCTCCTCCTCCTCCTCGTCCTCCGCCACCACCAACGTGGCCGCCGCTCATCTGCCGCCGTCCCCGCTGCGTCTCTTCCCCGGCGAGCGACAGCACGACTTCCAGGAGCACGTCTTCAAGAAGCCCACCTTCTGCGACATCTGCAACCACATGATTGTGGGTGCGTGAGTTCGACTCCGCGCGAGCGCACGGTCAACGCCGGTGACGGTGAATCTGTGTCGGTTCCTGGGACTCCCCCTTGGTCGACTCAGCCTCAAATGAGTACCCGCATGAACCAGCGGGGAGGCGTGGTGTTTGGCCACCCACCCCAGCGTTCATTGGTGGTGCTCGCTAACAACAGCACGTCGCCCCCAAAACGCCTGTTTAAGGCTATACGGGGGATCTTGACTTAAAGCTTTCGTGACTGCAGGAATTCATACTCTTTGGGTCTTTCGGTAAAGTCACGTAAATAGGTTCAAATTAATAAAAATAAAGAATAAACTACGACGTTTCGATCGTCATCAGGAGGAAAACAGAGGGGGATATTTGTTTTGCTCGAGCGAGCGGGCGGAGTGCCAGTGTAGCGGTCAGCGCGCTGCGCTACAAACCCCGGCAATCCGAGTTCGACTCCTGCTCGTGACCAACACTCGTCCTGGCCATTCCCTAGGTCGACTCAGCCTCAAATAAGTACCTCGTGCGATGCTTAAACATTCCCACTCGGGAGACAAAAGACGGCTGGGTTCTCTTGTCTGTCCCATGCCGCTTGAAAGGTCACCCTTGTAGCTGTGTACTAACAGCACTTCCTCCAACAGTCCAGTTGGCTATTGGTGGGATCTTAGTCTGTGTCTTGGGTCGCTCCCTACCACTATGGCCACACCCGCAGGGGTGGCTGTCAGTGTCTAGTCCTGCCCTGTGTGTCCCATAGGTTGGGTACCTAAAATAAACTTTTATTTTTTTTATTTTACCATTGAGCTATATGGCTCCTTTTCAGAAGCGACCTGGCTACAAATCATAGCTCAACAAAGTGGCTTATCACGTGGAAATGTAAAGCAGCCAAATACTCTAAACGCGCGATGTTGATTCTAAATGTGGAGGGAAAACCTGGAGGACCTGGAGAAAAATCCACGCGACCACTGAGAGAACATGCAAACTCGAAATGTACAGCAGGCGTCAAGGTCGGGATCGAACCTACGACCTCCTGTATACCAGGCGAGGTAGTTAACACCCCCACCTTTGGCACCCTGGTGGCAGCGTGAACTGCACCTACATCCGGTGCATTGTGCAGGTCATGATGGGTGCTTGCTAACACGACTTCTCGCCATAATCTACCATGCTCGGAAAATGTTAAACCGCCTTTGTTTTGTTTAATGTGAGTCATGGTTACTCAACTTTGGTATGATGCTGTCTGTGCCTGCTTGCGGTCTATAGGTTTACGCAGCCTCTATACTAGGGTGCCTGGTTTGGTGTGTCACCATCTGCACTGGGAAGTCGAAGGCTGCTGACCATGGTGCTGACATAGCCTTTGACTTGTCAGTGCGGCAGGTGACATTTTAAACAAGGTATCTATTTTGGTGGGTGTCTGTGTTACCAATTCTTTGTTAGTGCCCATATTGCTAGTTTGGATCAGACGTAATAGGTGTTCAAAACTAGCATGTGTCTAGGCAGGCTAGCCACAGGATTTGTGTTGGTGTACATGCACACGTGTGTCTACGGGTGTGCGTGTGTGCGTGCACGAGCCAAAGTTATTTGTCTCGTCGTATCGACCGACTGCTCGCATTGAAGTGTGTTTTCCTGCGCCGCCAAGTGACTGTTTTGGTTAAATAATGCAACGGCCTTAACTAGTCTAGAAGGATTAGCCATCCAGTGGTATTCGGAGTTGAGACAGACGTCGGGAAAGAAATTGGAGGAGGAGCTGTAAACAAAAACATTAACAAGTATTCATCTTCTTGGTTCTTTCGGTAAAGTCACGTAGAATGGAAATAAAATAATAAAAAATAAAACGTAATAAAATGCTCACGACTTTACCGAAAGAACCAAGAAGATGAATCCCTGCAGTCACGAAAGCTTTAAGTCGAAACATGAACAGGGTTCTGTATCAACTGGACAAGTGGTCCACACGTGACCATTACAGATATATATTTTAAAAATGTACACTTTTGTATTAAATATTGATAAAGATGAATTGAGTATTCAATATTACAGTTTAAATTACAGTTACGGGCAGCAATATCTGGCTTTAAGAGATATGACCCTTGAAAAATTGTTCCCATGACCTTTAAAATTCAACTAGCGACTAAAGTTGTAATTTTTTAATCACCATTTATCATCTAGAAAATCCAGCTAGACTCTTCGCATTTTCCGTACTGACCTATTTTTTCGTCATATTTTCATTCATGTGTTCAGAATGTATAATATCTGTTCATATGGACTGATATAAAATGTCCAGGTGCGAGGTGGGTTCTTACACTAAAAGGATCATGAGAGGTGGCGGTGGCTTTGGGAAGCCTTGATCTAACAGTGGAATAACCATGGCTGATAATACCTAGCCACGCTTAAAAAAAATAATCATGAGATTCTGATTTAACAAAAGCTATCTTTTCCACAAGGAGAAGGTCACCTTGAACGGGTTTTCAAAATATGGTACGCCTCATTTTACAAAATATGCATAAAAAAATGGTCATCAGGATAAAAACATTTTATACACATCAAAACATGTTGTGTGGAAAGAAACGAATATTGGAAGGGGAAATAATATCCGCTCATTTGTTCTGTTACTTATATTGTCCACAGCGACACTCGGTGATTATTGTGTGCTACGTATTACATCAATTTCTGTCGAACTTGAACCCATTTCTTAGAGAAAGGGTAATTTCTGCCTTGAAACATTGGGCATTTCACCAGCGTTGGTTTCAGTAAGCCTGACTCTGCTAATGAGGCACTGAATGTCAAAACCGGTCCAGACGTTGCTTGTGTTGAACCCTAGCAAGGCGGAGTCGGGTTCTGACGGAGCAAGGCGTGGCTAATAGCAGGGTTGGCAGAGGCTGGCAGGACAAAGTAAGGGCGATGTTGAACAGGGCAGGGTGAAACTGAGGTGCACGACATGGCTATGCAAGGCATGAAGAGGGACATGCCAGGAATTGGGTTAACATCTTGAGGCGAGAAGAAGGGCGCAGCTGTAAAAAGTAACACCCTTGAAAAGGGCATGTGAGCATGCAGGCACCACTCTCTCCGCTCGATCCTTCCCAGGACTTGTTTGCTTGACCCACTTGTGCACGGGACCATACTAATCTGAAATGCAACGGTGATGGAGAGAGGGAGCGGGGGGTTGAATATGCGCTCACTGCTGCTCCCTGCGTCGAATCTCTCTCTCCGCCCATCCCATCCCCAAATGCCCTCTGTGCACCCCCTCTATCTCCTCCTCCTCCTCGTCCTCCCCCATACCCTCCCCGCGAAGACACAGGGAGCAGCAGCAAGCACGGGCTGCGCTGCAAGGCGTGCAAGCTGAGCCTGCACCACCGCTGCCTTGGGGGTGTGGAGATGCAGCGCTGCATGGGCAAGATGGTAAGTGAGTCTGCGCACACGTGTACACAGAGATAAAGATCCGCGCACCTCCGATTTGCATGGTTGGCTACGTACGGTGCGAAAGAAGTTCTACGTACGTACATACATACCGATGTAGCCATACAGACTGTTGGGACGAGTGCTGTTAGCGAGCACCTATTAAAGCCATCAGGGGACTTGAGGGGGTGGTATGATGAGCACTATGCCCGGACGTCTTTGTCTCTCCAGTGTGGATTTTTACACATCGCATCAGGTACTCCTTGGAGGCCGAGTCGATCTAGGAGAGGCCAAATACCCAATTCAGGTCATTGACAGGGAGGTTGGCCGGGAATTGAACTTGTGTCACGTGCAAGTGTGAGCATACACGCATGAGCGTGCACCCACATTCACAGATACAAACAAATACAAGCACACGTGTTCACACGTGTTCACACGTGTTTACATGCCCAACTCACTGGTTAAGATTTGTACACACTCTTTGCGTGTGTGCAGTGAACACAAATACCAGCATATGAATGATTTTGTGCAGTAGATACACAAACATATCCACGTTTACACAAGCGTATATTCACAATAAGGGGACGGTGCATGCACCAATAATACCCTCTAGGAATAAATAGTCCAGCGAACACAACGCATATATAACAAATGTGTAACAAATAGAAAAGCGTGCATACGCATAAAGCCACGAACACATTTACACATCTGCCCACATCATCGGTCACATTTATTGCTTCATTCCCTCAAGGCCATCTGCTTCCACGGAATCATTTATTTGCAAATTTTCTCTTAATTTGCCGAAAAAAAATTATCGTGTTTTTTTTTATTAATTGCAAATGCTGCCAAATTGACCATGTCCAATTCCGCAGTGTTGCCTGTAATGAAAGCTACACAGGACAATGCAAACGTGCAATCTCTGGAGCACTCTAGGTGATTGTGGGGCATCCGTGAGAGCCACTGCCAAGGTCCCCATGGTCGCCAGTGAAGTGTGCCATTATTTGAGCATGGATCACTACGAAAAGAAAGGTTATTGAGTCAAAGCGCCATTCACACTTGTGCGACGAGCCATAGAGAACGATCCTCAATGCCAACCGGTCCACAGAGAACCATCATAATGATACCGAGCCATAGAGAACGATCATCAATGCCAACCGGTCCACAAGAGAACCATCATAATGATACCGAGCCATAGAGAACGATCCTCAATGCCAACCGGTCCACAAGAGAACCATCATAATGATACCGAGCCATAGAGAACGATCCTCAATGACAACCGGTCCACAAGAGAACCATCATAATGATACCGAGCCAAGAGAACGATCGTAACGATACTAAGTCACGGAGAAATATCATAATGAGACTCAGTCACGGAGAATTATCTCAATCCTACCGAGCCTCGGAACGATCCTAATGATACAGAACCACAGAAGATGATGTTCATGCTACGGAGCCACGGAGAACCGTCCTAATGGCACGACGCTACAGAGAACGATCCGAATGTTATACCGAATCTCAAAGATTAACGACCCTATGTTGCTCTGCCGGGCAGCAATGCGCCACCACAGGTTTCCTCCCAAGCCGAGCCCCTGCACGATGTCATCCGAGGAAAGCGGAAAGAGGTTCCTACTGGGCAGAGGAGCGCGCGGTGCGTTCGTGCTGTTAACGGTGTTTTCTGTGAACGGCCGTTCGCTTTCAGCCGAAGGGATTCCGCCGTCACTACAGCTCCCCGCTGCTCATCAACGAGCAGTTCTCCTGCATCATGGAGGTCATCCCGCTCGGTGAGCCCAGACTCCGCCCTTTGATTTTCGCTCTTTCCCCGCAACTTTGCCACCCGTTAGCCCTGTGCCTCATCCTTTCTTACGCTTGTGTTGTTTTGTTTTCCAGCATCCGTTGAGGAAACATTCGCGCGCTGCGCGCACAAACACGGATGCCCCGTTTAGCCTTGTGTGTGGTCGGTACAAGTGGCTGTTATTAAGGCCACGCATGGTCTGACCGCTAGCCACTGTTGAGATTCAGACATTCAATGTATGTCATACTGAGTTAACCTAGGAGAGGGCCAGGCTAGCCTCAGATTCAAATGTACTTGATCAGAAATCAAATATGGCCCTAACTGGATTGTAGCACCGTGCAACATTGATTTTATTTTCCCCTACACACATAAACACACAGGGGCTGCCACGCACATATATCTGCTCACACCAATGTCAATCTTAACGTCCTGTTGCACAAACCTTATGTTTGAAGTCTTGTGATACACAGTCCCCACATTTGATTTCCATGCAGCCACATGCTACGAATGTAAATGCTGATGGTCTGTAATTCTGCTTCCAACTGCTTTGCTTCACGATTATTCAGGATCTACGATTTTCGGGGGGGGGGGGGGGGGTGGGGAGGGCAGGGGAATGTGCTTTAAATTGCTCCTCGATTTTCTCATGCTGAGCTGTAAACTCGTTTTTTTCCCTCGCCTTTGTTATCCAGTCCCTTTGGTTTACAGGACTGCGATGTTAATGGAAAAGGATCGAAGTTTACTCTTTAAAAAAAGTGACATTTTACGGATGCAGATGGATTTTTTGCAGTTTTCAAACGTACGGTGAACACTCGGAGATTAATCTGTCCTGTAATGGCTCGCCTCGGTGGCATTCTGCCACATCGCGGGGATGTGGTTATGATTTTGTATGCACAGAGGTAATACCACAAGCTGCCATGTTGATGGCCGGTATTTATCTGATTGATTGTTGCGAAAAATCAACATGGTGGTTACTCCGTCTTGATGTTTGCGTACATATTGGCATACTGTCTATTGGCAAAAAGATTATCAAGTGTCTTAAGTCCCTCTGAGTCCTTTGCAATTTCCCTCTGATTAACAGCTCTTGATCCAGTTGTCAATGCATGAGGACGGTACCCAATTTGTGCTTAGTGACTTTGCCAAATTTGAAAAATGACCCGCAAAGTCATGAATTCAGAAAACACGCGGCAATCAACATCGCCTCCCCCGTAACTGCGGAACTTAGCAGGGCCCTCCTGAGAGAGAGTCTTGAGAATTCGGTGAGGCTTTTCTGGGTAAATATATAATGAAATTTGAGGTTTTACTCAGACAACATAAAATGGTTAAATCATGGTTTTAAGATTTTGTCTGGCGCTGCCAAAACAAGAAAACACAGAGACAATGAAAAAAGACAAACACAAAATTGGCAGAAGCGAAACCGTGCGGCTAGAGACTGGCAGTGCATTTGAGAAGTCGGGCCAAGGATCATTGGTGTGGCAATGCTGAGTAATTCACTACAATCTGAATGCTGATTGCATGATATCTTTTCAATTTCAGCTGAGCGTTCCCTCTCCCCCCTCCCCCCACCGTAATTTCTTAAAACCATCAGCCCAGCTGCAATGTCACTTATCAGCGAGAACCTGTGTTCATTTGCAGAAGTGTCACGACCAGCGCGCGCACACGTGAGTGGTCGAGGGTGCAATCGGCTGCGCGGAGTGGGGAGTGGCTTTGACTCGGGCGTGTGCCGCAGTACACCGCGTCCTCAGGGAAACCCTTTCCTTGTTTGAGACTGGTGCTTGCGCAAGGGGCGACGACCGGTCAGGAGGACGTGCGGTGGCCTTAAGCCAAGCCTGATTTAAGATGCTCTAACGGTACTCCACAGTGATCCCTGAAAGCATCCATTTGACACGATTGGAATTGGCAAGTCTGTCCCCAAGTGCTCCTGACCCTCACGTGTTTCCTTCCTGCACGTTCCCCAACCCCATTCCAGATGAGCGGTGGAAGAAAAATGATCAAAACACATCACACGTATTGCATTAGTGCGCCTGTGTGTGTGTGTGTTGGGCTACGGCGCAGCTACGCCAGGGTGCCGAGACCCAGAACGTCAACACAAGCGTCTTCGTGTTGACGCGCACACTGCACACGTGGATGTGTGCCTGCGTTGCGTTGCGTGAGAGTCTTGAGCACTTCACAAAGAGAGTGAGGCGTCACTGGAAGGCCCAAAGCTGTGCACGGTGCAGGCCTGCGCGCGCGTGTTTTTTTTTCGCTTGCAGTAAAGGCCGTCTTGTTTCCCCCCTCGCTCCCGCGCACGCCGCTATGTGAACCCTGCCTCTAGAAGAAGACCGTAAGCGAAATGAGAAACCTTGTGTCTGCAGCTCGGCTAGGCGTGGGGACGGCCACTCAGGTGAACCCGCGCCGTCTTCCCCTCTCTCTCTCTCTCTACCGCATGCGTGGTGGCGGACCTTGGGGTGACTCAAAAGAGCAGGGGACGGACCTCAACGATCAGACAACCACCGGGCCGGTGGCACTCATTTGGGGGGTGACTGGCCGACTGATTGGACACTCGACCAAGGGTGGTGCCAAGCGTGAAACTCGCAAATCTATTTCACCCCCCGTATGTGTCCGCTTGTTGACCCGCGGTAAATTAAGCAACGGGACAAAGGAGCCACTTTCTGGCTTGAAGCTCAAGTTGCAGGTCTCCACTGAGGTGTAGCAATGGCTTGCAACGTTTTAAGTCTCCGTGCTGTCTTGTGCTGTGTTTACACATTTTGGAATAATGGGAAGCAAAAAAAAACGAACGGTAACGTAAAGTTTTTCTACAGCTGCTGGCACAGTTTCACCTCTGAGTTTATAAAACCTTGCAAGGTGGCATTGTTCACGCTGCTATCCATGCCATGTTTTTTTTCGCTAGCACTAACAGAACAAAACACCGAGTGCTTTTGGTGGCATCACTGAAACCAAAACTCATTTTGATCCACTCAAGTTGCCTGCAACCCACGGTTTGTCGTTATCTCATTGTGTCCTGGAAAACAGTTTCAAGCCATAGATACTGAAAGAGTGGTGTCCGGTATTCAGAGGCTTGAATACAACCTCTCTCCCGTGGCATTCGTACAAACCCATACATACGGTAGCGGGGTGCCCATCCCTTGTCTTGCGCAGAAGCCGTCGCGCCTGCTGATGTGCTTCCTCAATGAGGCACACGGAGTGCAAGTGGCTGAGAGGCAATTCCTGGCTTTTCTCACCGCAGAGTCCGCGACCACGCAGCAACGTCAGCCGGCCACGGCTGAGGGCAATGGGGATCGAGTGCTCTGTTTCCAGTCTTGCCTCGTTAAACAATAAACTCGGTTTCGCCGACGCACTGCTCCAGAGTGTACGCACCATCGCAATGCCCACGTGTTATAATATCGTTTGTGCACCGTCGTACGAATGCGGAAACGTTCAAATATTGTGTGCCAGAGAGCGAGAGAGAGCGTTCTATGCTTTTTTGTTAGTTTAATTTTTTTTTGTGGAGAGGTCTTGTGGCTGCTTGCAGAGACGGCACGTAGCCGTCGGTCAAAGGGGGTTGTGGTGGCAGCATTCAGATTGTTTACGTTTAGCTGCAAAGCTGGTGATTACATGAGAAAGTATTTTAAAGAGCTACCTGTTAAGTGGTTGCTTCAAGTAAAGCGTGCGACCAAATAACGGGGCACATTAGATATGAAATAGGTCATTGTCACAGAGGAGTTGAAAGTAATGCTGCATGCTATCATCACTACCATCACCACCACCACCACCATATCATTATCAAGTATCACCACCGCCATGGCCACCACCACTATCATTGTTAATCATCACCACCATCACCACCATTATCACCAACCAGTACCACGGCATGCACATTCTGTTTCGCCTTGCACACGGAATGTGTGCGAAGGTGCGGACTGAATTCCGTCCATTTGGGATGGTGAACATTCGAGTCTGCAGAGAGTTCCAGACGACACAGGATATATTTGTAATTCATGTCACTACGAATTTGAGAAGTAAATTGTGATTTGTAATAATCGTGACATGTTAAAAAAATATATTCTGCTATATATAAAAAAATGTATTCTCCGCGTGTGAGCACGTGCGTAAAAGTATGCAAATAAACCACTTGTGAATCCAACGCCGCTCGAATCATCCACAAGTGGGTGCCAAAATATGCACGCGTGGTCTAAATCCGTTTCCGTATAGGCATAAAAAATAATTGGGAGTGTGATGGAGAGCGCCTCCACGCCATTGTTGCGTCATGGGAAAAGGCAGCTATGCCGTCTGCTGCTCCATTTGCTGCACGCCGGGGCTGATCATAATGCCACCGTCGGCCACGGAGGATCACACGTGACAATTACTGTTGTTCTTGTTCTCCCCAAAGTCCAGCAGTAGCTGTGTTGTCAAATGTGTACCTTTGCCATGCCACGCAGCACAATTGGTGTTCTCTGACGAGACAGATGTCCCGTGATTCGATGTTGGTGGCCTGCAGTGCAGCCTCTCTCACGGTGGCCTATCCTACACTGTGGCCTCTGAGGTCAATTATGTCCTCGAGCTAGTAACACGCACACACACGCGAGGCGATGAGATGGCCAGCAACAAGAGGGCTGCGACTCTATTTGTATAGACTGTTGGGGTTCGTCATCGTCATCACCATTACCATCGTCATCATCACAAATAATGCTAAATACCGTGTTTTGTCATGTAAGATAAGAACACTACCTGCGTTGCTGACCATGGAGGTTTACTACCCAGGGAATAAAAGCAATCATGCGTTGTTGAAAATTTCGAATTCAGCCCTGATTGATGATTTTAACACTTTGGCAGCGGCGTTAACGGACACTGGTCTGCTTTTCACAGCAGACTATTTGCTTCAATAGCATCCCCAGTGTAACTGAGCTGGGCTGCAATGTGATGAATTGATACCATCGCTATTTTATACGGCAGTGGACAAGCATGCTGAGCTAAACACCAGCCTACCACTTGGTATAAATCCTCACAACTTTGCGAAGCTCGTACTGCGTTCGAAAAAGAAAATCCGCCTTCGCTTCCGTAGAGCGTATCCAGCGAACGGTGATCACGCACACGGTGCCGGAACGCCGTGGAAACTTGGAACCAAAGCGTGGCTTTAAACACGGTTTCAAGGAGTTCCTCCTTTTAGGCCACTTGCCTTCGAATGTCGATTTACGGTGCCACCTGAGACAATCACAAAGCAATAAGGCTCCCTATATTTCGATATCCGTTTGGTTCATATTCCCTTGACACGTTTGATCAGGAAACGCAAATTAACAATATTGCACCACTTTCTTCTGGCGTGCCAGATCAAATTACTTGAGTATCTAATACATTATGCATATTAAGCCTCATTACCCATGTTATACTTACATTTCACCAGAAAAGACACTTCATTAAAATCTGAAAACATAATTGGCACCGTCAGGCAAGTCTCCTTGCTACGAGATATCAAAGCTATCTTTGTACGCAAAAGTGGTCTAAAACTGGTCTCCTCGTCACCGGGAGCTGAGTTTACATGCCACGGAATCGCGAAAGCCGTCTCTGTCTTCCCACTGCCCAAAGGCAGCGCGTGGATGCAGGCAGCCTCCTCCGCTGTTGGCCAGCGAACTCGCACGGCATGGCTCCTTTTGGCTGGCACACGCGGCGCAGGGCATGGTGCACAAACCCCACTAAACCGCGATGAGAACGAGTTGATTTACATTAACGTGTGTCGACCCGCACACAGCTCTGATTGGAAACAGTCACAAGATCCTCAGTCAGAGCCAGGGAAGGGGTTGGGGGGGGGGTGCTGTGTGGGGTCCCTTCCAGCCCCCACGTTGGCGCACGTACACACGAGTTGCACGTGCGTGTTTGCGTGTGTGTGTGTGTGCGTATACCCCGTGCCCCTGGGATCCTCTCTCTCCCAACCCAACCTCCGATCACCCCTTGATGCCCCCCCCCCCCCGCCTCCTCCCCCGCCTCCCCCATTCACGCAGGATGCGGGAAGAAAGTGGACCCGGTCTACGAGACTCTGCGATTCGGCACGTCGCTGGCGCAGCGCGTGAAAGGGCGTGGATGCGAGGGTGAGCCTGGGCCGTGCCGACACAGCAATAGCATGGTACGCAACGCCACCGGCCGGCAGCAGAGGAAGAAGAATAACCAAAAAAATCTCACCCTCTTCCTTCGAATGTAAACACCCACGTTTATATGTACGCACGTATGTTGGATTTGTTTCCCACCGTGCGTAGCCAACCGCGCTAATCGGAGGTGCGGGGGGGGGGGGGGACCACAAAACTAAGCGCGCAACAAAAACATGTCAATGTCGAAGTTGTTGAGTAGAGCCCAGCGGGACAGCGTGTCGAGTCGCCTCGTGGTGAATATCTGAAATGCTGCCAGGAATCAATGAAGCGGGCAAGTGGCATGACTACGTCGCCCGTGGTTTGAGATCGGTGGCCACGGTCGCGCTGTGAGCGATTCTTAATATTCCACTGCTGTCGGATTATCCTCGTATCAAAAGTATCAAATGCTACGGGCCCCGCACTTTCAAAGGCCCCGCGCTCAATGCTTTCAAGCTATTAATTCCGGTTCAGTGATTCTACACTTGCTCTATTACTGTAGTGCTATACTGCCTTAATTTTTTTATGAACGACTGGGTGTTTAAGGTTAGCGATTTGTCGTATTATCTGGTTGTATAGCAAATGAAAAAAGTACAATTACTTTACTATGCAAGTAAAAAATGTGTTCTAATATTTACGTGTTTATTTATGTATTTAGGGCCCCTTTATATCATCATACTACAGGCCCCGCACGAGCATAACCCGGCACTGCAGATATAGCTGCATCTGCCGTACGATTATTTGGTGCAAGTCAGTAAAGACCATTGTGGGGTAAATTGAAATTTGAAGGTTGATTATGTGGGGTCAGTTATTGACCCTTTATACCAGGGATTCTAAAAAAACTGTCCTTGCAACCCACTGTGGTGTAGGTTTTTACGTTTACCATTCACCGGGGGTTATGCAACGTGCAATACATTTCGTGTACCTCTCCGGCGCATCGCGATGAGTGGAGTTACCGGCTGCTAGAGATCCACTGCCCTCGCAATCGAGTGCACATCATGATGAGGATCCGCATTATTTTGTTCGCTTGCAACTGTGGGTGTGCAACGCAATGCTTCTCTTCGCGGTAGCACCACTGCATCCCCTCCCTGCAGCCTCCCCTGCTTGTGCTGGAACCTTGCTCTACACGCTTTCACTTTTCACGCCCCCCCCCTTCCCTATGATGTAGTTGTTTTTTTAAATCTCCACTCGCAGCCCTGCGTCTCAGCAGCCAAGTTGATGTTTTGTTTTTTTAAATCGTCTATTGTTCATCGAACTAAACAAACTTATCGACTTCACGGGTTCTGCCGGACGAGTGAAGTTATTTAAGAGCCTGCTGTATGATGCCATCAATGTAAATTCAGTTTACAGTGGGTACATTGTGAGCTTCCCCAGCTGGATTTGTCACATGGGTTGGAGGTGTTGGTTTAGATTCAGCGATGTGTGGCGGTGATGGTGGTGGCAGTGTACACCAGCAATCTAGAACTTCGGAGGTTAAGGGTTCGGTGGATCAAATTGTTTTTTTTTGGATGACAAATTGGATGACGTTGGATGGTGGTGATCGTGACATCAGTGTGACGACGGAGGTTGAGTTTTACACGCGTGAGTTTTGAGCGAGTGTTTCGTGTTACATCTCGTGACCCCGGTCGCCTATAGGATGCCGATCTCATGGATGTGCCAGAAGAGATGGACATGGGAGGAGGACCGCCGGGCGTCCAGCCAAGCACCCAGCCATCTGTGCAGCAAGCCACCCAGACGGCCACGAATCCAGATGCTCATTTAGAGGGCCCGCCGGGGACTCTGCCAGCCACCAAAGCAGACAGCCAGCCAGGTACAGGTGTGCGTGTACGCTATGGAACCAAGTCACTCGCACTCATGCTCAAACGAAAACAAAGATCCCCCCCATATAAGGTACACAGGCTGTTGGGGCAAGTGCTGTTAACCAGCACCGTCAAAGGCCAATACGGTACACAAAGGGGTGATGTGACTAGGACCATGTCAGGCTACCTTTGTCTCCCCAGTGGTGATATTTACACACCCTATCAGGTGCTCATTTGAGTCTGAGTCGACCTAGGGAACGCCCCGTTGCTTATGTTGGCCATGAGTGGTAATCGCTCGCCGGGTTTGTAACAGCAAAGCGCTAAGCAGCGCCCTGCCGCTCCCCACATACTCAAAACAATGACAAAGATCCCCCGTGTAGCCTTCAGCAGACTGTTGGGGCAAGTGCTGTTAGCGAGTAGCACCTATGAAGGCCGGAAAGGTACGCGAGGGGGTGGGTGGCCAGCACCACACACACACATGCGCGCGGGAGCTAGCAAAGTGGGCACGGTACATTCAGGGATGGATAGGTGAGCAACACTCCTAGACTAGTTTGTCTGATTGACGCTCAAGCACCGGGTGCAGCAGAATGTGATGTGGGGAAAAAGGGACTGGGTGAGTGATGAACTGAAAGGTGGTAACCTTTAATGGGGGACACTCGTTATGGAAAGACATTTGCAGCTCTGCTGCGTATTTATTTTATTATTATAATTGCGATTATTGACATCGTCATCATCATCATTATTGTTGTTGTTTAAAAACGGAGTGCGTCACAACTTGTTGTTGTCTTTTTTCCCCACAGAGAAAATGTCTCCCGCTGGGACGGGCTCGGAGGACACGGGCGCTGGTGACAAGCCAAAGAAGCCGACTCCGGTAAGGCTGACAGAGCAGTATCATGGGGGGCACGGGGGGCAATGCTCCCCCCAAACTGGACACCTTCATTAATTTATTTTCAGTCGGTTACAGTAGAACCGCCTGTAATGATGACCAATTGGTTCCGCGGAACCGATCGTTAAGTGATTTGGGCGTTAAGCGAGGATAGGAAATACACGTTGAAGGCTTAATTCGTTCCGAGTTACCCTTTTCACACAAAACACGTATTTTGTAACATGTAAACAATGGATATTGGTACAAAAAGATGCTAACAATATAATAAACACATAATTTAAAAATATACATGGTTAATCAAAGCATTCATTAATATTATTACTGTACCTACATCAGCCTGTCGTTAACAGGGGAATCGTCGGTAAGTGAACACATTGGGCTCTACGGCGGCCCTTCGTTGAGTAATTATATGTATTTAATCGTTAACATGGGTGGTCGATAATAATGGTTCCACTGTACAATTAAGGTTAAAAATAAATACATTCATTATATGCACCCCCGATTCCTAATGTGAGGGACAAAGCGAACCTCTGTCCCCCCCCCCAATATGGCAGTCAAACTGCGCCTCGGGCTGACACGGCCGGGATATTTCCCTTGCTTATAAACGAGACGAAAGCCCCTTGAGACATGAGGAAGGAGAGATTTAGAGGACACTATGCGATAAACAACAAATATTTCAGCGAGTACGACAAATTGCGTGCCTAATTATATTTTTGCTTTTCGCTAAAGGAGTAGTGATAATATTAACGGGCTCGTTAGCGTTCTCTATGTGCTTAGTAGACAATTACACTTCAAGCATGGCTAATTTACGGTTATTTTCACTCTACTTACCAAAAACAATGACATTGCAAAAGCGGACCATTTTTTTTTAATCTGTGTAAATTACCTGACATTCACAAACTAAATCAAACAAAAGCTGAGAAGTGTGCAAAGGTAGGGTGTGGAAGTTTACGCTTGTGACTAGACTGAGAGAACGGAAGAGGGACCACACAGATTCGAGGCCAACCACAAATGAGAGAGGTCATATCGACTGTGAGTAAAAGTGCGCTTGGACAGAACACGTCACTGGAGGGGACAATTGCCTAACAACAGAATAGCAGCCAAAGGAGCGAACGCACCTGGCTGGGTTGGGAGGGGGGACGTTGACTGCAGAGATGGAGCGCTAAAATCAGCTCGTGTGCAGGAGCTAAATAGATCGTTGCATTGGGGCACCATGCTGGGTGGTGATGGCTTTGGGAGAACTCCATCCAACAGGAGATAGATCAAGGCTGTTACAACAGAAAAGGAGGCTGGGTGCCTGTCAGGAGCGGAGAGCCACGTCAGGGCCACCGAGCTGAATTCAAGTCCCAGGTCGCCACTCGGCATGAAGGTGGTTCCGACATGCAGTGAGCTTGATCGTGTCGGCCAAGTAATTGACCTTTTCCAAAAACCCAATGATGGGAATGCAGTATACACGTTTTAACAATTCCTTGCTCTGGTAAATACAGCCGGGGGTGGTGCGGTGGTTAGCACGGCCGCGCAATGGACGCGGCAAGGTTGGTTCTCGGCCGTCAGTGGCAATTGATATCAGAGCCAGTCTTTCCTCCCTCCGTCCGTCGCTAACCCCCACTTATCAGTGGCTTGGGGAGGCCTTCATCCAAAGGTGGATTGAGAATGGCCTGATATTATTTATGAAATAAATATTTGTAATTATATTTATGTATAATATATAAATACAGGGATACTTGCACCTAAAGCAGGCCCAAGATACACTAGGTTGCTGAGCAATTGTCTGAGACCACGGAACATATCGCATTAACCTCCCCACTGAGGTCTGTTACGGGAGGCACTTTATTTCTCCACTTAGCATCATCTCAGGAAGCCACTGAGTGGATCAACATCCCAGATGTCCAATTGTAAGCTTTTACCCGTAGTACGAAAGAAGAAGTTGGCCTGAAATGACCCAAAGTTGTCTCCAGCCATAGAGCAGCTTTGCTGTCAACAGAGCCGCCTTTGCTCGAGAGTTATTTTGCTGTGGTCAGGGGAAGACGTGGGCTGCCGTTGTTGTGTCCGTCTCCTTTGTTGTGCGCGCAGGTGCGGAGGGGTCAGCTGAAGCACATGGAGTCCATTCAGCAGATGTACCAGTACGTGGCACTGTCCCAGTACGTGCCGCAAGACAGCGGCGACCTAGCCATCCAGTACGTGCATCGCGAATACCACCCAGGGTTTTATGATAGGCAACTTTTTGGGGCAACGGCCCTTCTTCATAGCAAGTAAATTGCCCGAAACCTCACCTGAGGCAGTGTTACTGGCGAATGTGTTGCGTTTTTTTGGGTAAGTGGTGTGGTTGATTAATGACAACCTCTAAACTGGTAACCGTATTCATCATATTCTTGGTTCTTTCGGTAAAGTCACGTAGAAGGGAAACAATAAAATAATAAAAATATAAAATAATAAGAAAATGTTCCTGTGGTTTTCACACCTGATGATGATTGCTTGTGTTGCAGTCGAAACGTCGTGAGAATTTTATTGTTTTATATTTTTATTATTTTATTGTTTCCCTTCTACGTGACTTTACCGAAAGAACCAAGAATATGAATCCCTGCAGTCACGAAAGCTTTAAATCAAAATTGATAACCGTATTATCGACTCACGGTTTTAAACATCAGAATCAGATAACTGCTTCATATGTATGTATGTTGAACTTATTTCGCACCGTACGTAGCCAACCATGATAATCGGAGGTGCAGGGGAAGGACAACAAACTAAACACAAAAATAATTTCTCAAGAAATTTTTTTTTTCAATTTAGATTCGAAAGTGCATAGCTCCAGCGGCTTTCTAATATCGGAAGGAAAGGCGTTCCAGACGGCCGCAGAAACGCATCTGAAAAACGCACGAGGCAGTGACCGTCTTTGTTTGATGGCCAGCTAAAATCTGCTGCAAGGATTCATTGCAGTTTGCACAGGAAACGCTGTTAGTGAACGCACATTAAGGCTGATGTTATTTACGGGGATCGAATGCTGCCCCCTCGAGTGTGAGTTTTCTCTGGGCGCTCCAGGTTCCACTCACATTTAAATACCCATTAATTGGCCGATAACACCGTAACATGTTGAGGACTGCAAAACTTGGACATGTGTTGGCGCCAGCTAAGCGCGTAGCCTTCTTCCTACGCTCTCAGTGGTTCCTCGCACAGCTGAGTCGTTTCCCTCTCTACAACAGCGAGTGAATGCTGCGCACGTTACAAGTCGAATTCATGATTGCAGCGGTGACGCAGTGGTTGGCGCTCTGCGTTATAAACCTCAACGAATGGCGCGTTGTGCGGAGGTGTTCATCTAGCCCCGTCTGTGGTCACTCCCAGTCTCCAGCTGCTCGTGTAATTGGGCACCTGTCAAGCCTGTGCTGTCCATTGCTCTTGACAACACTGCAGAGGTGGGCAGAGTTCGCTATTGGCTCACCGCAGCGCAGACTTTAAGGTTTCTCCTCCGTACGTACTCATAGTATTGCCAGCGATGTAGCCAATTAATCACATGCTGTGCACCTTACAGGTATAATTGTATAACCCTTGATTATATTAAACATCTTGACTTAAAGCTTTCGTGACTGCAGGAATTCATATTCTTTGGGTCTTTTGGTAAAGCCACGTAGATAGGAAAAATAATGTGTTGCGATCGAAACGTCATGATAATTTTATAATTTTTCTTTTCTACGTGGCCTTACCGAAAGACCCAAAGAATATAATAAACACGCCAGATGAGAAATAGCATTTCCACAAATTACTCAATTGATAAAACGCACAGCAACATCGGGCCCCACTGCAAATCCGTATTCGAACCCTTTTAAACATACTTTTGAGACTCAAGTGTGAATTTCCTGGGTAAATAAATGTGAATTTTTATTATTATTATTGATTACATGGAGATCTTTGTGTTCTGTTTTCCAGACCCGGAGACATCCTATCGATTGTTGACGATTCCAACGAAGAGTGGTGGAAGGTAAGTTTTGTGGTAAAATATTTTCAATAAATGTTTTATCATAATAGCAAGCGGCTGAAAAACAAAACCAGAAACGAGTTTTCAATATTTAATTCAGCCGATGTATTTGTGCATTGCGGCATGCCTACTATTATTAGCACCAGCACACGTAGTAGATGGAATCACATGCCGGGCACGTACAGGCAGGCACAATTGTATAAAGCTTGATTATGAAAATGAGCACTCAAAGGTTAATCGCAGTCAGTGAAAAAGATTCAGAGGAGTATGTGTGTGTGATGCGTGTGTGCGTGCATGTCGGATTGTATCAGTATTGACTATATGACCATATTGATGTGTAAACATCAATTCTCGTCGGTAAAGGACATTTTTCTCTATTTTAAACTCGTACGTGAAATATCACAGTGACTGATCTACATCTGCGAAATATTGCATTGCTTTTTATTGGATGTACTGAGTATCCCTTTGGCTCAGAGAGATCATCTAAGGCACTCTTATCATGGAGTATATCTGTGAACAAAGACATAAAACAACGTGATGTTCTTGAGTATTATAAACTAATTCCATCGGTGGTATCATATTTATTTATCATTTATTTTATCATAATGCCACAGTTTCAGTTGTACATTTCATCATTTTCAGGTTTTTATTTTAACACACTTGAACAACAGCGAGCCTTGTCTACATATATTCATATATGTATACACGCACGTTAAATGGTAATGATAATACGTCTTTTCTGGAAATTCGGTTATAGAATGGAATCTCTTCTTTTCCGCCATATTTTTTTGCAAGTTGTCTTTTCGGCATGATGTGAGGATTCGGAATTCCGGATCTCAGCGGTGATGGCTCATTGCTCAGACCCCTGAGCCAACCCAAGCCACCTCAGTCTTTTTTTTACATTTGTGGTAAATGTAACAGTCACCGGTGGCTGCCGGGGTCACGGTGTACACAAATTAAAAAAAAAACATCGATTCCTACACGCGTGACTCGATGCACGCATCACAAGCCTCAGAATCGATATTGCCTTGATCAGTTGACGCAATCGTGAACATCTCTGCCGGTTATCGTCCGCCCGTCTTCTTGCCGCACCTCGACCGATCGCTCTGCACACCCCCCCCCACCCCACCCCCCCCCTCTCTACCCTGCGTTGTCGCTGTGAACCCCAGGGCCGGATCGACGACCGCGTCGGCTTCTTCCCTGCCAACTTCGTGCAGCGGGTGCGGCCGGGCGAGCGCGTGTTCCGCTGTGTGCGTGCGTGCGCGGGCACCCGCGAGCACGGCCAGCTGGCGCTCAACCTCGAGCAGGTAGCGCTCGCAACGGGCAGAGCGGGGTGCTCGTGTCTGTGTTCCGCGTGTGTCGTGCGGAGCCGACCGTGCTCATCGGAGGAGGTGCGGGGGGAAGGGCGACAAGCTAAACGCAAAAAGCAGTTCTAAAGAAATGAGTTTGTCAATCTCGATCATTTAAAAGTGCATCGCTCCAGTGGCTTCACAATATCGGAAGAGCGTTCCAGATGGCCCTAGAAGCGCATCTGAAAGCGCGCGATGCAGTGACCGTCTTTGTTCAATAGTTAGCCAAAAGCTGCTGCGAAGATATCCACGCACGTGCTCGTGCACGCATGTGCCCATGCACGTGTGCATCCATGCCCATGTGCATGTCATGCCCGCCCACACGTGCACACGTGTGTCTGCACACAAGCACAAAGATTCACCATAAAGCCATGCCGGCTATTGGGGCAAGTGCTTTTGAGAAGTGCCAATTAAGGCCCGCAGAGAATGAGGGAGTGGTGTGGCCAGCACCATGCCCAGCTGCCTTTATCTCCCCGGTGGTGATTTTTGTTACACACTCCGCACCAGGTACTCACTTAAGGCTGAGTCGATGTCAGAAAGACCCAGGACTGGTTCAAATATTCATTGCTGATGTTGGCCATGGCTCGGAATCAAATTCAGGTTTCTGGGTTTACAGTACAGGACCCTAACCGCTGCATACCCATATCCTCTCACGTACGACTACACGCACCCATGCCCACATGCACACCGAAGTACCCACACACATCTGCCCACATACCCTCCCATGCCCATATCCACAAAGTGCTGATTTCTCACACCATATCAGGGCGGTCATTTTATGCCATATAAAGGTAGCGTAGACTACAGCCAGGTTCATGTTTCAATCGGGCAGGGCCTGGGTTTCATTTCTGCATGGCCAGGAATGAACGCAGGCTACAAACATTGCGGTATAGTGCGAGAAACCACTGTTCCGCTGCTCCTGACACGCATACATGGTTACACATGCCCACAGACACACATGCGCCTTAACCAAAAGCAATGCACTGTGCTACATTGCTCAGGATGTGGTCTCTCTGCATTTACGTAGCGTGCACAAAAGGTGCAAACGTGGAATGAGCAGAGCAGCTGGGTTTCATTGTAAATGGAAGCTTGTGGCTCCCCTCTGATGCTATTTCATGAGCTCGCTCTTCTTATCTGAAGCTTCCCAATGAATATCTACGTACATCTGTTGCTTTGTATGCCCGTTCACAAGGCTGATTTGTCCGCATTTGTTTCCCCCCACATCTATCTCTCTTCTTCACTTTATTTATTTAATTGCGTTGTGCTTATTCTGCTTATTCACGTGATGAATAACGTGCCAGTTTTCATTTATATGCTTATTCATACATGACACGCGATTGTACAATTTTGCCTTTCTTTCATCTTTAATGCAACCATCACTCACCCGCTCCTCTCCATTTTCACGCTGTCCCCTGGTGTCTCGCCCACCCCCTCGTAATGTTCCCGGCCCCGGCAGATCTGCGTGGAGAAGGCCAGCATGCCCGCGCAGGGTTTGGTGCGCGTGCAGAGCGGCCGCAAGAAGGGCCTGGTGCCCATCGACTGCCTGGAAGAGATATGAGCGAGGCAGGGCCCAGTCGGTGAAAATCGATGATCGACAATGCCTCCATGGGGTGCGTCTCTCCCGACTCGGCCGGTTCCTTAGCGGGAGGCTGGAGAAGAGCGTCTTGAGTTGGCGAGCAGGTGTAAGTGAAAAAACAAATGGCTTGGCTCTGTGGCATAGATGGCCATTCCGACAGCAGAGCTTCTACCGCTTTCAGAGACCCTGCCATGGAACAGCAGCTGTTCGCCACCACCTGCCAATAGTGTTGCAGTGGAAAGTTCTTGGTGGCCACCGAGGAGCCGTCACTGCACAGGCAGGTGGAGAACGAGCAGACGCTGTTTGTTGTTTTTTTTGTGTTCTGGCAGCGTAAGCGCACGTCTGAATTCATAGCGGGGGAAACGTCCGGGAGCTTGGCACAGCTGGTGGTGCATCGTGTGTGTTGGACATCGGCGCATCATCAGTGTTAGCTGGTGGTGAAACTTCAGCGTTGACCTCTGCTCCGTTGCATATTTTATGGGAACTCTGTGTATTTCTACACAGCGCACTGCAGATTTGCAATAGTGCCCCCCTTCAACAGTAGATGTTCCCTCCACCTTCAAATGTTATTCATTGAATTTCTGACAGACTTTTAAATAAGCTCCGTGTAGTCTCACTGCGGCACATGTCTGAAATGCTCGCAGCAGCTAATACACAACAGGCTCACAACTGTGAGATTAGTGCATTAATTTACTGTTGTATTTATTTATTTACCTAGCAATTTATTTTTTTACAGAAAATCCATTATTTTAAATGTAGCATTTATAAAAAATGCATATATTATTCAATGCACATACGTTATCGTTTGCGGGATACACTGTTGTAAAAAAAAACGTAGAAAGAACTACATGTTTACAAATGTCAAAGTTAAATCGTGCTGTCTGAAAGTGTTTTTGATGGTTTAAAAAATGCAGGTTCCTTTCTGTGGAGATTAGAAATAGTTACTTACAAGCAATTACCGTAAATGAAGGAAAATGCAAACATTTGGCTAATGACTAGAGTGGCTGTTTAGATGTGCATGCTCGCATTGATGCGTGTGTATAATTGTATACATTTATATACAATGTGTCTTTGCAAATATTTGAGAATAGGAAGGGGGTAAACATTCATGACTCCACCTCAAGTTATTTATAATAATTATACCTAACATCACCCTTTGGAGTTAAATCATGCATTATCTTATTCCCCTCGTATGTTTGCTTTTAAAATGAGAATAACATCACATGGGTTTTTTAATCTTTGTCAAAACGAGGGACAACCCCGCATGATGTTAACATTGAACTATTTCTGGTGTTACTTTTAGTCTCGCCGAACATTTGATGGCCCTCATTTCTGCTCTGTAAAGATGGGTTCTCCTTACATTTTATTTCTCAAACCCCAGGGCTGAAGTGAAGACAACGATGTATACTAATGCTTTTTAGGAATGTCGTTATTGGTGGTCAGGCTGAGACCTTGAAATAAGACCACACCTGAAAACCTCGTGTAATCATGGGTGGCACCCCACATTTAAAGTGAGGGACTCGTGCTAGCTCAAGTACTGTGACAAGATGTTAATTACCTTGCCCGATATACAGGAGGTCGTGGATTCCATCCTGACCCTGACGCCTGTACATTTGGAGTTTGCACGTTCTCTCCATGATCGTGTGGATCTTTATCCGGGACTTCCGGTTGTTCCCTCCACATATATAATGAACATAATGCGTTTAGAGTATTTGGCTGCTTTACATTTCAACCTGATAAGCCACTTCGTTGAGCTATATAGCTTCTGAAAAGGAGCTATATAGCTCAGTGGGCCTTACTTGGTAAAATAAAATGCTTAGTTTGAAAATCGTTTAGTTTAAAGCACGTTAAAGAAGTGGTTTTTAGTACCCTTGGCCACTCACCCATGTTAACATCAGACAAGTAGTTTTATTAGCACCTTTTTTGTCAGTATCAAGTACGTATGGTTACTGTATACTTGATTCCTTGCAAAATATATTTATTTGATGTTGTGTGGTGGGGTAAAGTGTGGCTACTCCAGCCTCTTCCCAGAGGTATGGGCAGCGTGGAAGAATAGGCCAAAAACCCAATCGAAAGGCTGTCAGCAGTGGCGTTCGCAAGATAAATAAATGCGGGGCTCCACCTCTGTCTTCACCTTACCGCAGTTGGAATCTCATTGCCACCAATTTCAAAGCCACCCGCTTATCCGGGATGGAGGCACGGGACGCCATCGTCCCTCACTTGTAAGGCGATGGACCAGACGCTTCCCGGAAAGCTCTCTCCCGAGTGTGCTAAGCAGGGGGGGGAGGTTGAAATGGAACATAGCAATGTCCACAGCTTGCTGGGCTTAGAGTGGGGGTGGCGCGGGTGTGGTGGTGGTGGTGGTTGTTGGTGGCGATGGGGTTCACGGGGCATTTTTTTGCCGTAGCGGTTAGCGCTACGAACCTGACGACCCGGCCAACACCAGTGACGATTGTCTAAACCGGTCCCGGGCCTCCCCTAGGTCGACTCAGCCACCAATGAGTACCTGGTGCGATGTGTAGTAAACGTCGCCACCGGGGAGACAAAGGCGGACGGGCGTGGTGTGTTGGCCTACCCACCCCCTCGTGTGCCGTGCCGGCCTTCATAGGTGCTGCTCGCTAACAGCACTTTTACAAAGCCGCAGTTCAAGAAATGACCGCATTCACGACGTGAGAGGGATTTCATGTTTCTCTCCTCGTCAGGCACGTGTTTAGACCAAATACTGTACATGAACTACACTGAGCATTTTTGTAATACTTTACATATATAGATGCACTACTACTGTATATACACTACCACCCTTACGCGTGCACACACACATAAATGTATCTTACGTGTGATATTTTGAGAGAGGAGGGAGGCACTTTCCAATACCGTTTTAGCAAACGTCTGTCAGCCCCAACACGCGTCCTGTCATTTGATGTTTCACTTGAGTGAGAATTTATATCTGTGTAAGTCCACTTGTGGTGAAGCCAACGTACTGCCGAAAATAGCGACGGCGTTCGTACGTTTATGCAACTTTGAGCACAGGATTAAAAATAAACTGAACACGAAGAGTGCAAACCAGACTTCAGGGATGAATCCCGCCCACCAAATCGACAGCGACGGCCGTCTTGAAGGCTCCCCGTGACTTTGCCACGTCGGCTCCCGGAAATCCCACCGTGACTCGCGTTTGTCACAGGGCCATCATCGGTTTCTGTGGCCATCAAAAACATTTTAGCTGTGCTCCCGGGCGACAGCGTGTCCGCTGATGGACGTAAATCGCCCTCTCCCGTCTCGCCTGGGCCCTCACTCGGCTCTACCTTTTGATCTTCGGCCACCGATGACAAGCGCGTGTGTGTGTGTAGGGGGGGAGGTTATTTCCCCTCCCTCAAGTGCATTGTCTAGGACCGGCTGGGTAAACTTAAACCGCATCGCCTGTCCCGCACTATTTATGTCTAGAGAACGGCCACAAAAAGAGCCCCCCCCCCCCCAAAAACCCATTTTTTTCAGGAGCTTTTCTTTTTGCGATTTTTTTTTCTGACGGAGCGAGCCGTTTTTTTCCATAATTTTTTGGTTTGTTCCGTGTCGCAGCGGGAGCCCTCTCGCATCTCTGCAGCGGCAACCTCGTGGGGGGGGTGGCGGTGGTGGGGTGGTGGTGGGGGTTTATTTCGGCGTTTTGTGTGATCGCTCCAGTCGCCGAGCTTGAACGCGACACACTGCGAACGACGCCTGAAGGAACAAAAAAAAGCAATCGACACAAAAAAAAACCACCCCCCACTGGTGATGAAATTGCAGCCATGGGAAGAGCTCACGGTCACCGGGGGACGAGCAAAGGTCACAACAAAGCAATGAGACGCGCGTGCGAGGTGAATCGCAGCCGCTAACAGAGTCGGCGTTGCCAACACGGAGTTTACTCGCGTTTAAAGCGAAAGTTAAGGCAGGATGGCGAGGTAATTGGAAAATAATGGTTAAGTTAAACGGGGAGTGCAAAAAAACACAAAGTCGTTGAAGGTGAAAAATGAAATCTTTCAACTGGAAGTAGTTTCGGTCAAGAGCCCGAATGGTTTCAGGCATCGGAAGTGTACCGCACAAGTTGATTGCACAAGCAGCGAGGACAGGGCCGTGGATCGCCACATCGCTCACAGGACGCGGAAAATAATAGTCGTGGAGTCAAAGTGTCTCCCTGCTGCTTCATTGAGATCCTGAGTAGCCCTCAGTTCGCTGAGTGGCTTCGAACAAGCAGTGGATAATTTTACATTCTCACGGAAGTAGTCTCACAATATGATGAGACCCATTTTGGTGAAACATTCACTTAATATACATATTTTTTAGATAGATAGATATATAGTGTATTTAATAAATCAATAATACGTACTGTGATTCCGTATAACGATAGTAATTTAAACATAGGATATTAAACAACGGTGATAATGACAATGTCTTACAATTGTAAAACTTAACACTGAACTACTATGGAATTGTTTTTTATTCACTAGTGCAGGGAGAATGATTGGCGATTATGATTCTAGAAGTTGTCAAAGAGCAAATAATCTGACTTGCAATGTCATCGTTTAGCATGATTCCGTTCATGGAGGCGTCTTTTCTTTACACCAAAGGTATTAAATGGGCAAAATTAACTCCAGTAATGTAACACTGCTTGTGAACATAGTCTTGTTGAAGCTTTGTAATGGCTTCATAAATGTGATATTAATAGATTTTACACATGAAAACAGTAATTTAATAACTGACAAAACCAGTATGAATGTCATAAGTACAACCAATGACTAATTATAAATGCGTCATTGGCTTAGCTTTGCGAATTTAATCGTAATAAATGTTTCAATAAAACATCAATGCCAACTTCAATGATCACCTTCAATAGATCAATATCAATAAAATTCTGACAATTACCAACTCATGAAATAAAATACGCTATTTTGCTTACGAAAATAGAACTTGCCCTATGGATGGTGCACACAGTTGCCTGTGCAATAATTTTTTTTTATTTAACTTTTTTTTAACACAAAGGAGGAATGCTCTTTAGAGAAGCTGCTTTATAAAAGTGATCGTTTGGAGCTATTCCCCACCAGGCAGAAGGTACGATGTGTGTGCAAATTTCCGTCTGTCAATAGGTCGGTCATGCAGAGGTAAACTTCATAATAATAAAAACAACCAAGTGAATTGTATATGCCGTTTCACATGTTCCCAGCACTTGAAGAACAACAACACCCTGTACGCTGTCCCTGCGAGAACCATTTGTGTACGAAGCTTTGGATGTTTGCACTCTGATGTGTTTTCTGTGATGCTCCGGAGCATGATGCTGCGATGCACGATGCGCCGATAAGGCTATATCTGGCACATGCATTGAGAAGCGTATACATTTGCCAGCGCCAGGCAGTGAGTGACCTGTTCGATGATGAGGTCACATTTTGACCCATCCATAAAGGATGTCTTTAAAAAAGCCATTAAAAAATATAAAACCGGTCTTTACCCCTCCCCCATCAAATCCTGCATTTTCTCCTTCCATTCACTGAAAAATATCAAGAAATTCTTACCACCGCTCTCATCTAAACATAACTGGTATTACTCTTTGGTTCTATTGGGTAAAGTAACGTAGGTACCCAATAGAACCAAAGAGTATGGATCCTTGCAGTCACGAAAGCTTTAAATCTAGAATAACTGGTATTTTTAAACATACACGTGGTAGGGCATGACATTCTGCCTATCACTTTGTATTTCAAATCATGTAATATCACTGTACTGGCATTTAATGATTTTTTTTTATATATATGGACTTGGTAATTGCATTTCATACAGAATCTGGAACCGTTCCACATTTAAATATAAATGTATACACACGGTATATAATCCTTATCAGTAATTATATTGCCTTGCAGCAGTCTTGTCCAGAACTGACCCATCCTGTCCACGGTTCAGCACAGACACAGGGGCTTTTATACCCAGCAAAGATTTAGCAAAGTGCAACTCAGTTATTGTGGATAACTCTCCACATTTGGACCATGAGATTATATGTGACTTTCACATCTGCACAAGATAACAAATGGCACGTTTGTTTGGCAGTGTTCTCGTAGACTTTGAAGAGTGGCCTAATGTTGAATTCTAAGCCCTGAACCCTGAATATAAAGGCTGGCGCGTGCTGGTGTGATGATCACAGAGCCCTCTGGCCTACTGCGGACATCCCCAAATCCTCACGTAATACTCCGCTTTTCATTCGATGTATTTACTGAGTTGGGGAAGGGGGGGGGGGAGCACAGTGGTGGGAGGTTGTCTCCTTTTTTCTGGTAGAGACACATAGTCTAACTTTTTCACTTCTCAAGCCAAGTGTTCAGGACAAGCTTTGGGAGTGCTCCGTTTAATAATTGTGTATTTCGCACCGCGAGCTGTTACGTAAAAATCTAGAACACTGGTCTCCTGCCGCCACCACCCCCACCCATTACCGTTCTGCTGCCGCCACCGCCTCCGCGTTTTGGTGTCGTGTTGTTCACACCGTCGGCGATAAATGTGGCAAAGTGTGCGCATGGGTCACAGAGAAGGTCGCGACATTACGCGAGGATGTGAAATATGCGTTCGGCTACAACACTTTGCAATTTACGAATGCGCAGCAAATAACGCGACACCACAGCGGCCCCGTGGGGATATTGAAAGCCGAATGCGCTTACAACGTGGTTGTATGATGTGTTAAAAAATAAAATAAGACATTAAGGCAGTGCATTGGCAGTGCTGAAAACGCCCAGGTTGAAAAAATCTCACCATCATCAACATTAGCCCTGTCAAATAACAATTAATTGTAAGGCAGTGGTAATGATGAGTGTCGTGAGTTTTTGTTCTCTAATCATCTATTGGTCTAAAACTCAGTCGCATTGCACAAATATGATCGACTTCAGGCCCTATCATCTAAATCCATTCAATATTTTTATTTATTCATCTTGACTCCTCCATTCATATAGAATGGAATTGTCAGGATAAATGAAATTTAAATTAAGTTGGAAAGTGGCTTTGAATAACACAGGGCCACATTGCCCGTTTTCACTGGGCTAATTTCATGAAGAGGACACTTGCACCGTTGAACTTCACAGGCAGTGATACCAGTCGTCTCTGCGGTTAGCTTTGAGACAACCCGGGGCCACGGGACTTCCCGGTAGCTATGCTTTAGCACTGTGTGACACGCATGGTTGTCGTACCTCAGAGGCATCCGCCATTCATTTGAACATCAGTGGCCCCCACTGGAAGAGGGGAGGGGGGGTCCAGAAGCCATGAGAACTACCACTGTAGTTTACAGCTGGTTTACAGTTAATGTTTCATTGCTAAAAGGACATTTTAAAACGAATCTGTCGGAAGGCCGTGGTGAGGAATTGATGTCGCTTCTTAAATCCATGTGGAGTTTAACCTGGTCCATCCAGCCGCCTTGCTCCTATGCAAACGCTACAATGGATTACTGTGATAAAGAGCAGCGGAGAACGTGGGAAGGTTAACGATTCTAGGGACCTTACATGTATCTTGCAATTATCTGGAACTGAATTGTCGATGCGTGTGATGTTGCAGTGAACTGAAACAGAAAAGGAACACAAAAAAATAAACTTGGTAATGAATGTGTGTTTCTATGTGTTGTACGTATGTTTGTATTATGTATTAATGCACACATACACAATGGGGAGCGGTAGTGCTGCAGTTAGCACGCTGCTCTACGAACCCGACGACCTGAGTTCGATTCCCGCTCATGGCCAATACCAGTGACGATTATTTAAACTGATCTTGGGCCTCCCCCAGGTCGCCTCAGCCTCAAATGAGTACCCGGTACGGTGTGTAAACATCACCACTCGAGAGACAAAGGCGGTCGGGTGTGGTGCTGGCCAACCACCACCTCATGTGCCGTACCGGCCTTCATAGGTGCTCGCGAACAGCCCTTGCCCCAACAGTCTGTTAAGGCTATACGGGGGCTCTGTGTGTGTGTGTGTGCATACATGCACAGTTTATGTAATGCTGTGCAACAGTTGGACTAACATCTATTTAGGCTGCAAAGGCTGTTGGGGGAATTGCCGTGAGTGAAGCCCCGATTGTAGTCATCATCTTGCATGATGGAAATATCTGATTTTTTTCTTATTACACACAATATTATCCTTGACATAATATTATTTCCAATGTAGCAACAACCATCGGACGTAATTTCAAAACAATTCACTACACGACACCAACGATCATCCTTAAAATTCACACCCCACATAATTGCACCCCAAATTGCCCTCTCCCAACCCAGGCCTCGTTTCTGGCCAGAGCAAACTAAAAGAGCAACAGGGCCTCTACACAATACCAGATCCAGGTCAGACTCCATTAGTGTTACACGTAATAATGTAAGAGGTGCGACCAGAAAAGTTAACCCCTAATAATTTTTGAAAATATTTTTTATAGCTCCCCTTGCAAATGATCATACATTATTGGGTTTAGAGCTTCCTCTGCCTTCCCGTAGTTCATTAATGTAACGACCAGTGTTGGTGCCCAGCCGTCTGAACGCACACCTTCTTCCACTCTGCATCCCTCCACCCAGTACCAATTCCTTGCCCATCGCTGAGCAAACTCTACGATTTACTCATTTCATCTCCACAAAGTCAGCCACTTCTACCAAACACGACCATTCAACCGTACGTGCTATCGCAATCTCTGCAGCGAGTCGTTTGATTTGAAATGGGTCTGAACCGCGCACGCCGACCTGTAAATGCTAACTCTAAAGTGGCCAGCTTGTGAAAGGAGTTTGAGCAATCTGAAAATCCTGTCGAGTGTAGGTTATCACAGGGGTTCACAATGACTCCGGGTGCAGGTTAAGGATGCTTATGTGTATTGCATCAGTGGGGGTCACCGTCTCATTTGCGGAACCCTGGCAGGGCACGCGTCCCTGCTAGGCTTTTCAGTAACAATGTCTTTTATTGCCACTTACGACTTCTGATCGTGAACCAGAGGTGACGTATCAAGCCCCCTCCAATAACTCCACGTGCAATGTTCATGCACGTGCGCGCGTGCGTGTGTGTGTGTGCGTGTGTGCGTGTGTGTGCGTGTGTGTGTGCGTGTGTGTGTGCGGGTGTGTGTGCGCGTGTGTGTGTGCGCGTGTGTGTGCGCGTGTGTGTGCGTGTGTGTGTGCGTGTGTGCGTGTGTGTGTGCGTGTGTGTGCGTGTGTATGTGTGTGTATGTGTGTGTGTGTGTGTGTATGTGTGTGTCCGTCGTACTTATGACCGGCTCCAGTTTAACAGCAGAGGTCTCACTCCGAATCAGTCGAGCGGCAATATCTTTTCATCGGTTGCGTAACGCTGTGTGGAAGCTACCTGGTCTGTCGCTCCGCACTAAGCTTCAGGTCTTCTCGGCCACGGTCATTCCCTCCCTTCTCTACGCTTGCGAAACGTGGACCCCCCTAATGGAACATCTTCGCCGGTTACATAGATTTAGGCTGGCCTTTCTACGATCCATCCTGGGTTTAACCAGACTGGATTGTGTGAGGAGCTCACAAATCCTTGAAAGATCTGGGCAAGGTCCCATCGGTGAGCTCCTCCGGCGGGCAAGGCTGCGATGGCTGGGTCAGGTAGCCCGCATGCCCAGCCACCGCATGCCGAAACAGCTTTTGTTCGGCCGGATCGAGGGGGCTAAACGAGCGCGGCACGGGCTAAAGAAGAGATGGAGTGATGTGGTACAGGAGGACGTGGAGCTGAGTGGACTTGCCGATGACTGGTACCAGCGGTGTCAAGATCGGCCTCTGTGGAGGAGGCTCGTGAAGAACGCTACTGGGCAGTTGTAGGGCGGAGGAGCGACGCTCACAACAACGAGCGGAGCGCCGGGTGGCTAAAGCACAGAAGGTTGGCACAGTAGGGGGCACAGGTGATGCATCAGCCAGTCATCTCAGTCAGTCGACCCGTGGCACCTGGGTCTGCCCCGTGACCTCCTGCCAGCGGGCGTTCGACACTCCACGTGGCCTCAAGGTGCACATGTCCTGGCACAAGCGTCGTGGTGACGTCACCGCCACTTAGTGGCGAATGGCGGTTGTTGTTGTTATCCGTCGAGTGAGCTTTTGGAGGCTCTCGCCCAGTCTGTCCTTCATTGTCCTCGCAGGGAGCACTAATTGCTATTTGGCATCGGTTTCCTTCGTTGGGGAAAAGGTGCCTGCTTATGCCCACAGGGATTTCATCTCGAAAAGGGCAAGGTACCCCCCCCCCCATCTGGGGCGCTATGATATAAAACACTGGGATTGACTAATTCCCTACACGTGTGTGCATGGAATGGTAAATGCGAGCTCATTAGCGGGCAGCGCAGACTGGGGGCCTCAATGCCAATGTGCCCCTCTCAGCATCGTGAGTGGCTGTTGGTGGCTGGAGCGAACGATACACCATGGTGGAACCACTCCCTTCCTCGTGCTTGTGGGTACCGCGCGCCTCTGAGGGGGCCCATGTGAAATTGAATAATCAACAGATTACCCAAGATCACACTTTCTTGAGAATAGGGGTTCCCCTTTTTTTTCTGGCAACAAAACAGGCGTTGAGATGTTAAAACACCAAACTGAAACATTTTACAAGGACTCATGTCTGCATTAACCGCAATACTTGTGGTCAGAATGCAAACAAAAAAACATACTCTGATAATATATGTGGCATTGTCTTTCAAACTGATTGGTCCACACCAGAGACAGCTTTCTTTCGAGCCTAGTCTCAAACGGTGTTCGACCAGAGGCGTCCTCTGGTCTAACACACTTTCTTGTTTTGGGTTATAGGGCACTACAAAACAATACTAAAACAAACACAGGAACAGTGGCCGGGATCGTAGCGCAGCTCGGTAGCGACTACACTAACCCCCACCCAACAAGCAACACACTGACACACAAATAAACTAACAACACGCTAACACGCGGCACGCCAACGACACAACATCCATACAAATAACACAAACACTCGAACAAACAACTTGCACTATGAATATGCAAACAACTTACTAACAAAACAACACGCTAACGCCCATCAACGCGTTAACAAAACAGTGCATTATCGCCAAACACTTCACGCCTGCTCTTATTAATGATGGGTCTAAGCATACGATTTTTGGTGTGTGCGCGTGTATGTGTGCAAAAAATATGCCAAACCTACGCTCGCATAGAAATGTGACCAAGCTCGGCTGCTGTTCAGCGTTTCTTTGAACGATGCGTTGGGCCGCTGCTGATGATGCTCCAGACGAGCTGCGGATCTTGCACGCGCCGAGTTGTGCCGAGTCCGGCGGGGGCTCTGCTCACGTGAGAGATTGGATGCGATGGATATTGAGCTGATTGCAACCGTGGACCTGCGCGCACCACTTTTGCGCGCCCCTTCTCTCTCTCTCTCGCTCTCTCTCTCTCTCTCGAGTCTTTGGCCTCTCGACCTTGCGCTGGCAGTTTATACCTCAAGCATTGCTTGCGCCCCCCCCCCCCGCCCTTGTCACACAGGTGGGTGGCTATTCCGGTCTCTCTTCTCTGTCCCAGTCCGGCTTACCCCCCCACCCCCACCCCAGGTCCGGATGGGACCAGATGGTGGTCCCCAGATACACGGCGGTCAATGTGTCATCCAATGAACGTAAATGTGCGCATGATATTAACGGACAACACATTGACTTTGTGGAATTGAGCTCATATTTGGGTTGCCCATTAATCTGCGATGAATCACAACTACTAGCGCAGTGCATATTTGCTTGGTGGGAAGTCAATATTGGATGTCCTAGGTGAACACTGGAACCCTCGCCCCCCACGTGGGAATACAATACAATTTGGATTTATATCGGGTCTAAATGCGAATGCATCTCAAGTGGTCGTACACACACAGAGTGGGCATGTTTATTTTGCAGAGAGACGTTTTTTTGTCCGTCGTAAGCAGAGGAAAAAGTAATGGTGTTTTTTAGTGTCTGGACTAGAACAGGGGCAAGGGAGTTGATGACACGAATGTTTGGGGAAAATGAAGTTCAAGAATACGGGGACGGCAGAGGAGAATTAGCAGCCTCCCGTTGAGCGAAGGTTTACTGGGGTATTTGACAGAGAGTGTGTGGAGGAGAGTGAAGTGAGAGGGGAGAGGTGGGCAGGGAGCAATCCTCGGAGGTTCTTTAAGACAATGAGTGCGACCTTGCAATTGATCAGAGATTATTTTAGGCTTAATGAATGGATCAGGGAATTGGGGTGATGTGTGGGTGATGAATCCAGCAGCCATACTTTTTGGTGCATCTGGAGATTGGAGAATGAGGGATCTGGGAAGGCCGTAGTGCTACGAATAGTTGAGTCGGGTTGTCATGAAGGCATAGACGAGGGTCTAAGCAGCAACTAAATCATTATATGATGCTGTCATTACCTTACGACTTCGTGATTATCTCCCCACGTTGTTGAGATATTTATGGAGAGAATGATCGCTCAGGATCAGTGACAGCTCCAAGGTTTTGCACACACTCTTCCCAGTGTGATGTTAGTAAGAGTTTAAAAGGCGGATGCTCAATCTGGAGTCTTTATTGAGAGTGGACCATTTAGCAATGAGGAGTGCTTCAGTCTTTGGCAACATTTAGCTGAAGAAATCTACACGCATAATTAACGATGAACGTTCGATTTTAGCAAAGG